TCACTGCTACTCCCTTAAGGTCAGACCCTCATCATGTTCTGCCTGGATCACTGCAGCCTCTGCACTGGTGTCCCTGTCCAGTCTGGCTCCTCCTTCTTACGGCAGCCAATATGTGCCTTTGAAAATGATGAATCGAATTATACCTTCACTGCCTCTAATGCCTTTCAGTAACACTTATTGCACATCGTTCCAAGCCCTTAGTAGGGCTCACGAGCCCTTTGTGACCTAGCCCTAGCTTACCTGTCCACCCCGCAATTACCCCCATCTCTTACAGCATCTCTCCCACTCTTCTTCCACTGCCTTTTCACAATGTGTATTTCTCTGGGCTATAAGCTCTTGGAGGGCAGCAATCATACTCACTCATAGTAGTCTCCTACCACCTAGCATAGGGCCTATAACATGGTGGCAGTGCTGGCAAATAAAATAAGGATGTCTAGTTGAATTTAAATATCAGACAAACAATGAACAATATTTTAATATAAGCAGGTACCAAGTATTGCATGGAATGTACATATAATAAACACTTATTCATTGTTTTTCTGAAATTCAAACTTAATTGGATGACCTGTATTATTGCTTGCTAAATCTGACATCCTGCAAGGTAGGCATCCAGGAAATACTTTATACATAACAGAATTCTGGGTTTAACATGAAGTGGATTAAATACCATGAAGGGCAAAGTTTCAAGAATCAAGAATTAAACTGCCATTAAAAAACTGATTGTAACGTGGTTACTTTAATACTTTCAAAGAGATAAGCAAAATAGAGATAGTGTGCATTTTATAGTCATTGCTTTTGTTTTTAGTTTTTTTTAAGTGACCTCTCAATATGAACGGTGTTTATACATATAAAGAAGAGAAATTTTAGAATTTGTTCCAATTACATTTTCCAACTCTGTTCACTGTATAACATCAGGTGGAAGAAAGATTACTTGAGTATGGAAAATCTCACTTTCAAAAGCAGGTTCTGGGAATGATTAAGCCCCCAGGATGCTGAAGAATGGGGTATGTCCTAAGGTTTAAAAACAATGCCATTTCTTGGCAGCCTCCATCCCCTGAAATGTACTTCTCCTGTCTGATGAAGTTCTGAATCCATCCAGGGCTCCTCAAACTTTTTAAACAGGGGGCCAGTTCACTGTCCCTCAGACCGTTGGAGGGCCATTGGAGAGTAGAGCACCCATTCCACACATGTGCACTGTGGGCCCGGGACGAGTGGGCTGCTAAGCAGGACAGGCAGCAGTGGCAAAAACACCTGGCGGGGCCGCATGTGGCCCGTGGGCCTCAGTTTGAGGACCCCTGCTAGAAGAGGGTGGAGCCACAAAATTGAGGGCAAGGACTTCAGGCAAGAAGTAGGGAATGTAGCACACTCAATGGAGGAACTTTGTCATCCTCTTAAAGAATGTAATGAAAATATGAATGCCAATTTACCGGCAATGACATTTGTTGGTATCACTCTGAATTTTCAAAAAGAAATCCATTGGCCATTGCTGTGTTAGGTTCTCTGTGTTTCAGTGTAATGAAAAAACAAAGAATTTGATCTTTGATATTAAATATATGATCTCAGCCACTAATTAAGTGTGTGTGATAGATTGTATTTTCCAAAGATAGCTATAATGGTAACTTTTATCCTACATTTTCTTTTGTGATGTGAGTTTGCCACAACCGTGACATAAGGTGGGGTTCACCTCTCCAGCTCCTAGATCTGAGCTGGTCCTGTAACCGCTTTGCCAATAGTTTATGGTAGAAGTGATGCTATGTGAGTTTGGGGCATTGCCCTTAACTGGCATCCCTGCTTCCTGCCTTCTGGATGCCATTCGCCATTTAAGGAGTACAAACACTCTGAGATCATCGTGCTGTGAGAAGCCCAAGCCATGGGCTGCTGGGGAGGAGACACCATGTGGAGAATGAGAGAGGCCAAGGCGACTGAGGTGCCAGACATGAAGAAGAAGCTTCCTGAAATTGGCTCCTGCAGTCCCAGCTGCCCCAGCTGATACCTCGTGAATCAGAGAAAAAATACCATACCCGGCCAGGCTCTTGCTGAATTCCTAACCCCAAAAACCATGAGTAAAATAAGACCATTGTTTTTAGTCCCAAGCTTAGGGTTAGTTTATCATGCAGTATTACCAAGATAATGTGTGACCTTGAGTAATCTATTTAATTCTTCTGAGCTTCAACATTATAGTCTAGTCAAACGTGACTTCAAACTCTACAGTCATCATCGATCTTATCATTATGTTAGCTCTTGAAAGATGGAAAATAAATTATTAGATGGAGTACTTTTTGTAAATATACTTTTGTTGTTATAGGTTACTGGGTTTTAGAATTTTGTGTTGAAGTCCTTATTTTGTCATTTGTTAATCATGTAGCATTGGGCAAGTCACATAATTTCTAACATTCAATATATTTGTCTTTAAAATAGGAAGACTATGGTATTTATTCAGCAGGTTGTGATGAGAATTTAATGAGATAATACATGTAAGGTACCTAACACAGTATTCAATACATTAATGACAGTAATTGCAATTAAGGATATAACTTATGAGATAACTCCATAAGACTTCAAACACTCTAACTTGAAAGATCACTTGTCAAAATGATAGCTGAACTTATATTAAAATCATTTTATATTTTCCTATGATCAATTTTTATTAAACACATTTTAGGTAGAATTATAAATTATGAATTGAAATCTTGACACCTAAAATGCTAACACTAAATATGTAAATTTCCTTATGCTTGCAGATTGCTGAATAATTTAAAAATATTTCCAATTATATTACCTTAGTTTGACCTCACATCTCTGCAGTGGATATCAGGGCAATATTTCTCACCCAATTTACAGATATAAAACTAGGCCAATAAGTATCTATGACTGTAAAGTAGGAGAGGTAGAATTAGAACATATGTTCTCATTTTGTGTTGTTCAGTATTACTCACTAGAGAAGTAATGAAAACTTTCCTAATCCACCTATAAAAATTCTACCTACCTATTCTAGGTCAATTTCAAATGCTACTTTGTTATCAGATTCTCTGTCCATGTCCCCAGTGCAGAAGAGACCTCCCTCCTGAAGTCCTACACTTCTTTGCTGATACCCCTCCTGACATTTGACATTGCACAATAGACATGTATCTCTGGGTTAACAAATGCCTGGCAGAAGTGCTACAGTGAAAGGGGCCGGACTCCTTTCTCTTCAAGGCTGCACACTCTTATGAGGACAGGAGCCAGGTCTGTTTTCTCTCTGCTGTTCAGTGGGCACCTAGCACAGTGTAGGTATCCAGTGAATATAGAGTGAAAGACTAAATGAAGGAGTGAATGTGTAGCAGAGCTTGGGATTTCAATTCTTAGCATGGAAATAGAAAAAGCAAGTTCCAAGAAAGAAGTAGCCCAGCAGCATGAATATAAAAATCTGAGAGATCTCTTAGCATGAACTAATGGTCCAGGTTAAGGAGTAAAAGCCAGCCCACGATGAGAGTGTGCCAGCCAGAGGGCTAGTCAAGGTGGGGCATCTCTGGGAGCTGCTAGAACCAAGAAGTGGGGAAAAGGTTGGGGATGTGAACATGATGCCCAGCACAGTTCAAGCAAGGAAGTATCTAGAACCAAGACCACACTGGGAATTTAGTCCACGGGCTAGAGTGATATTCAATGGAGCAAACTCACCTTCACAGGACTCCTCTCAAAGCCAAACATTATATTCTTATACTAATCATATAATTCACAACATAGAGTGGAGGGTGCCCAAATTCCTCTTTATTTTCAACAATGTCTTGCTTTGATTAGAATCTCAGTTGTTGTTTGAATAAATAAATGAGTGCTGGAAAAAACTTTATTTTGGAACAACTACAATTGTTTAAAAAGAAACTTGATAGAATTGGAGGTTGAATGTTAACAAAACATTAACAGTTTATGGGCTGTGTGTTTGCCATGTTAGCTGCACTGAGTTAAGATATATGTAGCTGAAACAGAGTATGTATGTAGAAACAGAGACAAACAAACATCTAGGGGAGAAATTAGAAAGAAGCTCCATATGAAAATTTATGATGAATTTTAAAACTGCCTGGCTCAGGCAAAATTTTTACATATAGAAATTTCAATGAAGAAAATTGTTTTATAAAAATAGATTCTAATGGCAACATTTTGTCATAACAAATGTATTAAATAATCTAAATATTCAAAAATACAGATTTGTTACATGAATTATCACTTATTCAAACAACTAAATATGATGCCTAAAATATTATATTATACATTTCATTGAGGGAGATGGTTATCATTTACTTTAGAATAACTAAAGAGTGATTATATAATTTATGTATAAATGTAGATAGAAAAATGTCTCAAAGAATTTAGGTCCAACATTATAATGCAAATGAGCACTGCATTACACCAAATTATTAACCAATCAGTTTGTGTTTGTGCATTATTTTTAAAGGTTCAATTTTTTGCAAAGCAACATTAAAATGCAATTAGTGGTTTTCTCCGATTTGTAGATTTGAGTTTTTTTTCTTTCTTTTTTGAATCTGCATTTTCTAATTATACAATGAATACGGAGTACTTATGTAATAAAGAATGATCAAAGTTAAAATAACCAAAACAATAGTGTGCTTGGACTGTGCTTCTGCTGCAGGATTCAAGATGAGATACACTTTCTGTTTCCAGGATTCATGAAAGCAAAGCAACATTAAAAATTAACCTTTAAAAATAATGCAAAAACACAAACTGATTTGGTTAATTATTTGGTGTAATGCAATGCTCATTTGCATTACAATGCTAGGACCTGAATTAGAGAAATGAAATTTCGTTCATTGAATATGACTTTTCTTCTCTATTCATACATTTTATGATATTTTAAAGGATTATATCAGAAACAAATGCATGGTTTTGGGGGGAAGTGATATCAAAAGGAATATAGATTACTTCCTCATAGGGAAACAAAAAACAAATTCCTCTTCAGAGTGCAGGAACATTATCAAATTGAATAAATGGACTGAATTTTCTCAGTGTGCACTGTGAGCTTAATATTTTATTGACATCACCTCTTTTAATTGTTATAACAAATTTCGGAAGTGGATAATTTTCTTCCTGCTTCACAAAAGAGGAGAACAAAGTTCAGAAAGGTCAGCTCCAAACTTCTTTATTCCAGAATCCAGGCTGAAGGAACAGTTTCTCTTTGGCATAGGCCATCCTAAGGGCAGACAGAAAAGAGAGACATGGTAGAACTGTGTGACAGCTCTTAAAACTTCTGCTCAGACATCCCATCTGTTTTTTCACTCATATTCCATTGACCAACCCAAGTCATGTGATCAAGCCCACATGGAATGGGACGTATATTCCCTCCATAGGGAAAGCACTACTGCATTGCATAGCAATGCACAGGATTATAATCTTTTAGGGAGGAAAGAGAAAAATTAGGAAAACATAATACAATTTATGTTACAGTCCTGGTGTGTTTAAAAGCAGAATGTGCTTACGATCTCTTAAGTTGCCATCTCATCAGGGCACTTTATTTGGGCTCTGACATCTTTAAACGCATGACTCCAATCTGAACATACCCTGTATTCATCATCCTCTGATGAGTTAAAAACCTTAGAGCTCTGTCTTTCCTGGTAACCCAACCAATCATGAAACCACAGTCTCAAAAGTTTCTTTGTTTTACCTTTATGGTCCTACAAGTCCCTGTTTAAAATTAAACTAAGTAGAACATCAAGTTTTCCTTTTATCATTTTCAAAGGTTTTTATGGACTGGATAAAATGGTGCAAGTTATGATGATAAAGTTAATATCCTGTTCCCATACCCACATCCACCTACCCACCCCTGGGGAGAAAGAACTGAAATAGAACTTTTTATATCATTGATGACTTTCAAGCTATTGGTTCTTGCTCAAAGAGCTGTTCTGGGAACGTGTTTCAGAGTGGATTTTAAACCAGTGTGCCAGGCACAGGTAAAAAATCAATCTCACAATTGAATGAATATGGAGCACATACACTTGTACAGCTATATTTTTTCATTTTTTCTCTTTTTGCTTTTCTCGGCTTATCATTAAAATATATTTATTAGATAATTTCTATGTGTCTGTCACTGGGTAATCCCTTCATCTTTGCATTTCTAGGCTTTAAACCTCAATGTGCTGGCTGGACTGAGAGGCCTCAGACGCAGGACCTTCCGGGCTACCTTGGGTTGGGCTGCCAGAGGAAAGGGCTGTCAATGAGCAGGCTGGCTGAGGCCAGTCCTTCTGAATGTCGCTTTGCTTCGTATCTGCGTGCTGATTTGGGTCCCAGAGGACCATATAGAGAAACCACCAGAAGTCATTATCCTTAAGTAAAGGCCTCTAGACACCCCCAAATAGGCATCTCTGATTACAGAGTGTATCAACTGGGAGATGAGATATACATTACAAAATTGTTATTTGCCTTACCAAGATTTATTATGAGGGCTTTACTTTTTAAAAAAATCTACTTACTTTTAAATGGTAATGTATTCATGAGGCACAAAAATAAAAAAATAAAAAACACAAGGGAGTTTTATAGTGAAGACTAAGTCTTCTACCTTTGTTTTCCAGCTATCCAAAGGCCCTCCCAAAAAGCAAACCCAGTTATGATTTCCTTGTGTAGCCTTCCAGAGATATTCTATGCACATGCATGCACATTTTCTCTTTGCATTTCCTCTTCTTTTGTCCTTTCCTTCCTTCCTTTCTTCCTTGCTCCTTTTAGGAAGTGGTAGCTGTTCTGCACTTTACAATACATCTTGGAAAATGTTTCTTTTCCCCACAAAATGGAGTTGCTTTACTCATTCTAACTGTGGAAAAGACTAGTGTTAAGTGTGGAGACTAAGGACCTAATTGCCTGGGTTCAAATCCCAATTCCATCACTTATTAGCTCTGAAACCTTAGGCAAATTACTTAACCTTTCTATTCTTCAGTTTCCTTGCCCGTAAAATAGGGATGATGATTGTTTTTAATAGGGGTGTTATAATAATTAAACAATTTAATGTGTAAACAAAGCATTTAGAGTCACCCCTGACATGGAGTAAGTGCTCAGTAAGGTTACTTACTGTCATTATTATATGTATTCCTGTATAAAGAAGGACCATAATGTATTTAGTCAAGTCCCTCTTAATAGATGAGTAGGTTATTTCTAATCTTTCAATGTGTAGTATTCAATGAAGTATTCAATGAAGATTTATAAGACTCTTCAAAGAAATGCCTCAGGGCACTTGAATTACATGGGCAGACAGGGATAGGGAATGAGAAATAAAATATTAATAATTTACATTTGTATAGCACTTTTTTTATTTTGTTTTGTTTTTGTATAGCACTTTATATCTTGAAATAATGTTTACATGCCTTAATTTCTTTTGAAGCCTAGAACACACAGTGATTCTATCTACTTCTGTCCATCCTCACCACCATCAGCACCCTTCCAAAGTGCCATTTGTGTATCCTCAGAACACAGAGATGGCACATAGTAGGTATAAATTAGAACGTTTTGAATATGGAGCATAGTGGGTGTAAAAGAAAGTGTATTGAATGACTGAGCAAATGAATGACGATAGGATAGATGGATGGATAGCTAGATAAGGAAACAGAGAGCAGAAAATGGCAAACAAATTACTAAAGTCTTATAGTTGGGAAATGCTGAAGCCAGATCTCAAGCCTGCACCTCTGACACCCCTCTGGTGTCAAGAGTTCACTGCCTTAACTAGTAGTTAGAGCCACTAACAATTGAAGGTCAGCAGAAGAGGAGGTAAACCTTCTCTCTTACCTGCTTATTATTGAGGCCAATGGAAAAATAATATTCTCTTTACAAGACGTCCTTTGAAAGAAACTTTTCCAGGAAGTCTGTATTTGTGTGTGTTTTACAAGGGCAACTCTTGTAATTCAGAAAACTGCTTCAAATTCAAACAACTTGATTATGTTTTCTTCATAGTCTTTAGAAGGGAAATTCTAGTATGAGATGATATATTGAGGAAAGAATAGATACTGAAAAGAAATTTATATAATTAAAATGTGAAATATGGATATCAAGGTAATTGCTGAACAGGTGGATTTGCAGAATATATTATTCATTTTTTTAAAAAAAATGCTTACAGTACTCAAGGATGAACAAGTGCGTGTTCTGAAACTTAATTAGGATACCCTTTGAGGAGCCTCTGGAATGGCCAAAACATAAAAACCAGTGATGCTTGAATAATTAAGGTAGGACTATGATATTTCTGAGTATTTACTTCCTCATCCTGAGATTTAATGCTCATCTCCTACCATGGTGCAGCTCTGCACCTGGGAAACACAGGGGTGCCATATAAAATGGAAACTCTCCAGGATTTATTCACTGTGGTCAAACCTATCAAGTTCCTCCCTCAAAAGATTTCCTTGATGTGAACCTACTCTGTACTCTGGCATTTCTCAAAGTGTGACCTACAGACATACTATATCACAGTCTCCCAGAATGGTTCTTTAAGCAGCAAAGCCCTGGTCCCAACCCATACCTACCAAAATCAAAATACCACAGAGTGGAAGCTAGGAATTTGTGTTTCAAGTAGTAGCCTGAGTGGTTGCTAATCACACAAAAATTTGAGAACCACAACTCAGTGATTTAGACAAATCACTCCCCAAGTGTTACAAGTTCTAAGTCTATCCACTTTTCCAGAAAAAGCTTTGAACTTCTGTATCAGCTCTGTAACATGATCCCTAAATCTCAGAAAATTACAGGAAGTTGCTATTGCCTAGCAGAATTTTGTGTTCCTCATTACAGTAATTTGTGGTCTAATTTCAATCCCCAGAAGGTCAGAATATAAGAGCCAGAATCATTCTTAAAAGGAGAATTAATTGGCTGCATTGTTATCGTTCTCAACAGAGGACAAAGTATTTATTAAGTGGAATTTAGAATACTAGAAGCCATACTGAAGCTAAGGAACAAAGTTAACGCTTACAAGATATAGAAATTATGTGGACATAAATAAAATACACATTAGACAAATTCCAAATTCATTTGCAAGGCAGAAGATAAGGGAAAAAAGATATAATAGGTCATAAAAACTAAATTCCCACGAACCTCCTGCCTGTTTCTCTATAATCATCCGTTCTCCTTGTATTTTTCTCCAAGGCCTTTACTATCAACTGTCTATTGGATTAAGAATAATAAGCATTTTAAAGAATGCAAATATCCACAATGGTTTATAACAAGAAAGATATAAATGCACTAAGTAGAACTCTTTTCTTGGCTGCTGGGAGGTTACAGCAAAGTAGGTGTCGCTGATAGCAACGTGTTCACACAGAGACAAGGCTATGACTTCAAAACCTGCCTTCTTCAAGCCGTCCCCCACCTTCGGTACTCAGCACTCAGGTGTTGTTTTTACAGACCAAAGGTCAGGTTTCCTTTGGACTTTTAGGTATGCTACGTTTCATCTTGTTATCCAAAGTCAGAGGGAGCATGGTCCTCCGGCTACAAATATCCTACATTCTGGGGTTTGAGCCTGAGGTGTCTGTGGAGATGTCTGTGGGCTCTGCTTGGAGAGGTCACAGGAGGAGATACATGCCCCGGGCTCCTGCCCCCATGGCCACTTCAGCTAGAGCATCTTGGGACTCTGCCCATGGATTGCATTTAAAGAAAGAGCTCTGCTGCTAACAAAAACCAAATGGAAATTGGAGAGATTTGAGACTAGAGAGCTAGGCCGTTTTTCCCCCTAATTGTTCTTTCTCCAACTCTTGTGCTACTTCCTTTTCTTCCTACCATCCTTTAGATGTGGCCACTCCTCCAGACTCAGTCCTTTGTCCTCTGTTTCCCTTTCTTAGTCACTCCTCTCTGGAGAAGCAGTCCGGTCTGGGAGCTTTGTGATCATCTTCTCTCTGTAGACAGTCATTGCATCCACGTCCCATTTCCAAGCCCATAACAAAACTGAGGTTTAGGGAAATTAGGTTATGGGCTCGAGGTCATCTACGTTGCCATACCCTGTAAGTACAAAGCTGGACGCATTGTCACCTCCACAGTCCATGCTTTAACCCCTGTGCACCTTTTACTCACAGCCTTCTCTCACCTGAGCCAAATTACATGTGTCCATCTACTTTTTAGATATTTAAGTTTGCAAATCTTGACATTATGTCCAAACGAATTAATTTCCTTCCCCCAGAGGGGAAAAAAATCTTTTCTCAATTAGCTATTTTTATTGGTGACATATCTTTTTTACCA